ATTTAAGGCTAAGAGAATTTTCACGGAATCAGAAATTGAATTGGGATAGTACTGCAAAACAAGGCTGAAACGAGTTGGCACCAGAGAAATTTCAGAACGAAGTCTCCTTTGGCCCTAAACCCTTAACGTAAAAAGCCCCTGAAAAAACGAAACTTTGACCAAAAAACGTCGCAATTTTTTTCTCATTTTGGCTACAAAAACGATATCCCCTTTGCCTTTTGTACAAAAAACAATATCCAGCTTGATCCGGTGCCAGTTGGTCCGAGTCCTGACTGCAAACTATGTTAGAGAAGGGCCATTACGCATTTTTTTGACCCGTGTGTTCATATTTTTGCAATACACTGTGCGTGACTACATGGAAACCATGCTAAAATTTTTAAAAACTAACATTTTTAATCATTGGCGTAGAGTTTGCTCCTCTCTCACTATTCTCTGAGAATGAAAGCCGAACCATATTCACCGTTCGCATAGGACATCGCTCGTTCATGACTGAAATCCACTTATTATTTTGAAAAATTCTATTCGAGAGTGATGCTCCATTATCCGCACCGTATTTATTCGCAAGTCCAACGGCTGAAGCTGATGTTGTCCTTGTTATCGTCAATCCAGGTGAAGGTGGACTAATGCTTCTTTTGATCGTGTTCCACTCTCTCCTGTCACGAACTCGACATGCCACCAAAGCTGCCGACACCGATAAGAATGACGCTAGCACGACCAAGGACAGCACGATCTAAAAAATGCATCCTTCAGGATTTCACTCAAATCAAAACGTTGCGTCACTAACAACTCCAGTGTTCCAACCATCTCCGGAAAGTAGCATTTGGTATTTTTCCTCGTAACGGATAACCTGGGTTTTGGTCGTCGTGCTCCGACGATTGCGTGAGTCAACTACGGTAATTTCTATGCCGTAATTGCACTCTTCGTTTGGGACATACAGTACTACGGAGCGATGGGTCTGAAAATCATGCGGTCTCACTGATGATAATTTTTTGAATTTTTATTCATTTCAATGTCCTGTTTTGCATATCTTGCTGTTTTGAAAATAGGTTTTTAAGGTTACAGCAGCTAAGCTCCGCCC